TTTTAATTCAATCAAAATTAACTTAAGTTTTAATAAACTTGGATTTGGGCCAAATCCAGTTTCCAAATTTAGAGTTAATCCAAACAATGTAATTGGGCCAAATCCAGAATTTCAAATGAAATTATGGTTCCCAAACAGGCCATTATGGGATTACAATTTAAAGTTTTGGTGTTAATTGTTTTTAGAAATTAGGGTTTAATAGGGGAAAATAGGGGGAAAACGAGGGAAAAGAGGAGGGAGAAAAGGGGGACTTAGATATGACGTGACTTTTTTTGCCGGAAATATAAAAAAGTCAACGCCGGAAAATATTCAAAGGACCCTCCTCACAACCTAAACATAATATAAGGACCTTTTATGCCACCTTTTTTATAAAAGGGCCTTTGTCACAAAAAGGTCTATTTAAAAGGACCTTCCTCACAAATTTTCCTAATAATAAAGCATAACACTAATAGCAAGATCCTAGGCATGATACTAACAAGATTAATAACAAACCCTAGCATGTCACTAAACAATAAAGATCAAAGCTTTAATCCTAACATGATACTAACATGAATATTAGAAAAAGAATAGGAAGCATCGCAGGAATCACAATTGTCATATTTGATATTAGAAATTATAGTTGTTATCCTAAACATGATACTAGGAAGATCAAAACACCCTAACATGACACGAGGAATCATTATAACAACCTAGACATGATTTCTACATCATAATATCAATAAATCAATTAAAGCACTTACTTGGATGCCTCGTACCTCTTTCTAATAACAAAATACACGTGTTAGTAACTTCAAGGAAAATAATAAAACAAACAATTAAATTAAATAATTGAAACAGAGATTTGGGACAAAACCCTCAGAAATTAAAACCTTTCACGTCTAGGGCGAAGGCAACTTCTACCTTGGCTAGGTGTGTCTAGATCTTGTGAATGCGGAATTTTGTAGAGAAAGTTTGAGAGAGAGAAGAGATTTAGAAAGTATTAGAAAACTAGAGAGTTGATGATTTTTTACGGAAATTAATGATCGAAAACGGAGGTTTTAGGAGGCTATTTATAGAGAAAATCAGCCGAACGGATAGAAAAACGAACCAGAGTTTCGACGAGAATAAAACAGATTAACGCCGAAAGCTGGACATTAGCGCCAGACGCTAAGGCTAGAGCCAGGCGCCAAGCATTAGCGCCAGGCGCTAATCATGTTGTCAGGCGCTAGAATTAATTTCACGAGTTTTCTTAGTTTTGATAAAATTTAGCTGTACAAAAGGGCAAAATCGTATTTTCCTTAAAAACACTTCTTTTATTCTGATTAAAAACTCTAAAAAGTCAACCAAAGTCAATTTATCAATGCTAACTAAATTAGGAATGAAAATAACCTTCTAGAAGACTAAAATAAATTCTAATTGCATTAGGAATGATAAATCAATATTAGGCCCTCCTCTAGATCATTGGCCGCACATAAAAATCAAATCGGGCCCAATTTAGTAATTTGGCCATAACTTCCTCATTATTCATCGGAATCGGGCTTATAATATATCGTTGGAAAGCTCTTTTCGAACCTGACCCCACTACGCTATTATTGGACCCTTGCCATGGACCAAACCAAACTGGGTTGGCTATTTTCTTAAAACAGGTTTTCAAAAACAGAGAGAAAGAAAAGAATTAAAAACTAACCGCAACACTAGACTTTCCGCACTTTCACTTCATTCGATTATGATTCGACGCAAAAGGTAATCATCACCAGGTTTGGTTTTGGGGAGACACAAATGGGTGTCTGCACGTGGCGAGGCACTGCCACAACCCTTGAAGATGGCGAGGCACAGTCACCTTCGACGATGTCCCGAAGCAGAGAGGAGATTGTCTATAGCAGCGAGGCAAAGCCGTGGCGAGGCACTGCCATAAACCCTGAAGATGGCAAGGCACATTCACCTTCGACGTTGTTCCCCAGGCATTGTGGAGGATTGTCACAAGCAAATGAAGATAGTGAGGCACTACTACCTTCAAATGGCATTCACGAGGCACTGTGGAGGTCGTCACCAACAATATTGCAGCAACAGAACGGTTACTCCAAAGACGTGTGCTCGACGGTGCAAGATACGCGTTCTTAACTCTTTTATCTGTTTAACTAACTCTAGTTTGCAGGTATCGGCGTTACAAGAATGATTTAGGATCGTAGAACGTTCTGAATCATTCTCCGTCCCTATCTCTACTTTGACATTTGTTTTCGAAACTTGCGTTTCTCCAAACTCAGTCAAAGTGGGGGCTTCTGTAGACACCCAAATGTGTCTCCCCTAAACCAAACTCAGTGATGAATACCTTTCACGTCATTTTATTATCTAACGAAGAGAAAGTGTGAAAAGTCTAGTGATGTGGATGTTTTTATTAAAATATCTCTCTATCTGTTTTCAAAAATATTTCTTTTTACACTCTATTTATGAAAATCCAGTCTAATTTGTTTTGGTCCATGATAAGGGTCCAATAATAGTGTAATTGGATTTGGCTCGAAAAGAGCTTTCCAACGATATATTATAAGCCCAATTTCGATGAATAATGAGGAAGTTATGGATTAAATTAAATTTGGCCCAAAATAGATTTTATATGTGGCCCAATGATCTAGAGGAGGGCGTATAAATAATTATTCCTAAAGTTATTAGGATTGATTTTAATCTTCTAGAATGTCTAGAAGGTTCCTTTTAAAATTCTAATGGATTAGGATTAATAATTATATTTTAAAGAGTTTTATTTTGAATAAAATATGTAATTTGTCACAAACCTGATTTTAATCTTATCAACGCGGAATTAGCTGCTTAATCGTATTGAGAAGAGGATTTTTCTTGGAAAGCATGATTTAATTCTGACTTAGCACTAGACAACAAGGCTATTGCCTGGCGCTAACAGAAGTCGCCTGGCGCTGATTCTGTCGTCTGGCGCTAACTCCTGTCGTTGGCGACATGAGGTATTTTATTCCGAATGGGACTTGATTTATTTTCGGACTATTTTTTCTATAAATAGGGTCGTATCTCTCCGTTTTTATTCATTCACAATCATTATTCCTAATCATCTATCTCTTTCTCTCTCTAAAAGCTATAGAAGCTTTCTTTCTTTATTCTTTTTCTAAACTTTCCCTCAATCAAAATCCCACATACATTAGTTCTAGACACACCTAGCCAAGTTCGAAGTTGCCTTCGTCGTAGACGTGAAAGGTTGATAATTTCTGAGGGTTTGGTCCCAAATCCCTATTCCAATTATTTAAATTAATTGTTTGATTTAATATTTTCCTTGAAGTTACTAACATGTGTGTTTTGTTATTAGAAAGAGATACGAGGCATCTAAGTAAGTAATTTAATTACTTTATTGATCTTTTGATATAGAAATCATGCTTAGATTATTTTATTGGTTCCTAGTATCATGTTAGGATGTTTTATTGCTTCCTAGTATCATGTTTAGGGTTAAATTATATTTCTAATATTATGTATGTTTATGATGCTTCCTATATCTTTTCTAATATCATGTTAGTATCATGTTAGGGTTAAAGCTTTGATCTTTATTGCTTAGTGACATGCTAGTGTTTGTTATTAACCTTGTTAGTATCATGCCTAGGTTCTTGCTATTAATATTATGCTTTATTGTTAACATGGTTATTATGATAATAAATGTTATTATGTTATTGCTTGATCACGCTTTTATGCATGTTTAAAGGAAATTTATACTTGTAATCACGCTTAATAAGATAACTAATTATATTGTTTAGGTTAATATGATTATAATTCAAGTGATCACCAATTATAGATTTGTTTGTGCATTAATTTTAAACCCTAATAGATTAAACAGTTTTAGGGTTAATCTATTGATTGCATATTAGTCAGAAAGCGCACATGAATACGAGAAGAATAAAATAGAGGCCTATTATTAGGGCAAGTTCAATCTCTTTTAGGTTGGATTTGTACCTTCATCCCCGAACATCCAGTCATGGTTCCAGACCTATTGGAGTTAACGATCTAATGGATCGTTAAGGGGTGTAACCTTCACCCTGTGAACGGTTTACAAGTTCCTAAAACTTGTTGGCGACTCTTTTTCTCTAGCTTCCTTCCCTTTGAACGCCACCATGCTTAAGTGTATGATCACAGTGGGGCTCAAGTGTGGGATGCTTGAAATATTCCCTACAGACCTAGCTTAGGCACCCAAATCAAAAGCATTCGAACATTCCCGTTCCTTTGGGTTCGACCCTTTACTTGCCTCTATACTTGTATTTAGGTTTGTTGAGTGATTATAAATTTTGTTTGACCGAGAGAGGATTAGTCAATGACCTAGTTTCACCCCTCGTCAATCGTGTCACATGATGTAATTCTCCTTAGCCTCATGTCCTAAGAACATGCATCATGCATACATTATTTTCAAGACAAGCAATTTAATCCATGCGATTCATTTCGTCTTGCTCAACGAGGAAGTTCAAAACTTCTTCCCCTTTTCATCTTTTTCTTTTGAGGAACTTCATATACTTTTTCAAAAAAAATTCATCGAGGGAAAGTCAAAAACTAAACTTTTTTCCTCGTCTTTCTTTTTCGGGAAAAAATCGTTACCCTCCACTAACACTAGTGGAAAAAAGGCCATCCGTAACGGGCAAAAACGGGCCATCCGTAGCGGGCAGCAGCCGTTACATATGCGGTCGTTACGGATAGCCTTTCTTATTCGTAACGGGCACCGTCCGTTACGAATAATAGGTTATTCGTAACGGGCACCTAAAACGCCCGTTACGAATAACTCATTATTCGTAACGGGCAACATAAATGCCTGTTACGAATAACCCCGTTATTTGTAACGGGCTTTTTAGGTGCCCGTTACAAATAACGGGGTTATTTGTAACGGGCAGGTTCTGCCCGTTACGAATACTGTGAGATCCAATTAAAAAAAAATCCAGCACATGCTGGACAGCTAGCTTGCACTATTATTTTATCAATTAATATATATATATATATATATATATTATACAAGTATAGTATACACTTAATAATTAAAGAGTAAAATACAATTAGCAAAAGCTGCTTTTATATATATAATAAAACTATAACAAAGCAAAAGGAAATCTCAATTGTAATAATAATAAAAACAAGTTTACTTAAGACTACCATCAGATGTAAATTATTTTCCTCTAAATTAGCGTGTTGAATAATTTACATCTTCCACCATTTTTCCAGATAGATGCAACTTTGATCTCAATAATCGTGTTGAGTATAATCAGGCATCATACTGCCCGCATCATACTGCCCAGAAGAGTCCCTGATCGTGTATTGTTGGTGTTTAGATTCAGCTGTAGATATAGTTCGGCACCACTCTGTTCAGTAATCGGTCTCATATACATGGTTGATATTCTGTCAAATACAGCCAGCAGGGCATCATTAATTTGGCGGTACCATAACATAAATTGCAACTTCAAAGTTCAGACAAATATCATTACGCCAGCAGCCCTGCATAACTCAACTGAATCTCTAACTCTAGGGCGACATGGATCCTACAAAATTAACCCATTAGACTACTTTAATTCCGGTGAAGCATTTTAATGACATTCAACTCCATATTACCAGCACAAGTCGACATAAACATGGAAAGCACCAAATCAAGTACCAGCAGTTTCGAAACGAAAGGAAGCAACATAAAGAAAATAATTATCAGGTTATGAATTTGAAAATATTATTTATTTTATTGGCTTCAAATATGTATTCTCAATAATTATTTTGTCACTCAATGTCCTTATATTAATTATTTCTTGTTTGCAGATGTACTAGATTAATGCACCAAATCAGCTGCAAGATCTAACAGCAAGTCATCAAGTATGGGAATTAGTACAATAAAGTGCCCCTGAGACATTAGTTATGGTCTATTTGCAACTAAAATTATGGTCTATTTGCAACTAAAATTGGCAGGATGCTTCCTCTACTACAATGTATTAGTAATACGACTTGTAATGTAATCAATTGTTCCAATGAATCAATATGGCGTTTATAATTTTATAAAGGGATTGTGTGTTGATTCATGACTTAAGGTAAGGATCAATAGTAGCTTCACACACAGAATTACACTACACAATAATTGTAATAAACCACTTAGGACTTAATCTTACGCTTTCTAGAATATCCCATTATATCCCATTCAATCATTCATCTGCAAATAGTTTCCAATGTGGTGAACCAACAATGAAAGACAAATTGCACACTCAGAAATAGGAGGGGACAGCTATGCACTAGGAGACAAATGCAATTAACATTCCACTAGGAGAGGAGGCAACATGAAATAGCAGACCTGAGATACTACAATATAATGGGGCCAAAGTACATTAATGTTAGGGTTATTGTAGTGCTTGAGAATATAAGAGAAATAGGGTAGCATTAGGAAATTAGGCAGAAATTTGAGTGACTTTTTGAATCTCTAAATTAGTAGCCTCAAGCTACCACCGAGAGTTATAGCCTAAGCCCTTATTTAACTTTATAACCCTTTTGCTAGTTCAATCAAAAAGACTCAAGCTTCCTTATTTATTTTACAATCAGTTTACAAAATTAACAGCAGCAACATCAGTCTCACATCTAATTCTATCAATTAAATTAAGCTAACAATCAAGGGCAAAGACTTGTCAGACTGTAACTCAAACAATATACAGATAGATCAATGGCTTAAAATCAATCTATAGATTAACAATTTAGTGTTTGTGTCAGATAAGAAGTTCTATGCATATATTTTCTTTCCTTGCATGATACTATGTCTTAGAGTTCAGTTCAGTTTAACTCAAAGGAGCAGGGCCTTAACTGGTTTTACATATATCATCAGTAACAACATAACAAGATTACAAGAAAACAAATTCCAGTAAGGCAGCAAGTAAACCAAGGCAAAGCTAAATGAGATCAGAAAAACCATATATACCTATTGTGAAATAGAAATCTTGAGTGAACTTCACCTTGAAGCAGAAGTGCATTAATGCGCTCTACATATATAAAGAGAGTCTCAATGAGCTATGTAATCAGTACTAGTACTTGGTGCTAGCTATATGACTATGTGTGCTCAAATTTCATAAATCACTAATATATGGGACAAGGCAGAGGAGTTCATCAAGTTAGGACTTGGGAGTGTTATATATTTCAGTATTCCAGCACGCAAATTGTAGTTGTATAAACATGATCGATAGAAAACAATAGCAATGAAGAACCTGTCACTTCTATTCCAAGTTTCAAAACCTGCCAATAATTCTAACATGGATATAAGTCTGGGGAAGTCAGTTTAGGAAGTGAACAAGCTGTCTAACACCCTATGCATATATTTACTAGGTCATTTGCATTTTGTAGATTGTTTTCAGTACTCCCCTATAGCACAAATCTGATCTTCCTATTGTCCTAAACTTGTTCATCTCAAATTATAGTAATTCTCAAAGTAAATTTGCAAAAAAAAAAAAAAAAAATAGAGCATTGTCGTTTCCCACATCACTTGTTCATATCAAATTATAGCAAAATCAAACCAACAATTAAAACCCTTCAATCAGAAAACAGCATAACATATGAAAACAACCACACTAAAACAACAAAATCAGCTGAAAACAATCACAAAACACAACATTTTAAAATTAGAAAAATTTAGAAATCCAGGAGAGAGAAAGCTGACCATACCATCGGAGCAACGATTCTTAGAGAGAGGAACAGCGCGAGAATCTCTCTGATCAGACGACTGTTTACCATCACCATCAGTAGTACTGATAACCGACTGTGCCGACAATCCATCCTTATCTTTACCATTCAATCCTTTCGAAGTTGAAGGCAATGATCTCTCCAAATGTTTATCCAACGCATCATTATTTTAGTCAAGTTTTGAGATCTAAAATTAGATATGACATTAGTTAAACACAATTTATAAATTTCAGAAAGAAAGGAAAGAAAAGAATACCAAATCATAACCCTAACTGTTAGATCTGTAGAAGAACAAGAACCCATCTTTCCATTATCGTGGCTGCCACCGCATTCTTCTTCTCTGGGTTGAGCAGCGTCGCTTTACTTCATCTCAACCTTCTCAACCTCCTTTACCGCCAGATTTCACCGGAAAATGGCTCTGACTAGTGTCGAAAATTGATAAATATGGGTCGATGTTGCTGAGGAGAGAGAATTGGAAAGAGATCTAGCCATTTTTTTTAGATTTTGATTGAGTTCTAAAGAGGAGAGAGAAAGGTAGTGAGTGAGTGAAAGAGAAAGTTAGAGGATGATTTCTGAGGAGAGAGAAAGAGAGGGGAGTGACGGCTGAGGAGATGTGTGAAACCCTAAGTAACTAATGGGCTCATCTCACCAACGCCTGGACCAATCATTCGTAACGGGCCCATGATGTCCGTTATAAATAGTATACTATTCGTAACGTGCGGTATTTTGTCCGTTACAAATATAATAGTATTCGTAACGGACATTATTTTGCCCGTTACGAATACTATTTATTCGTAACGGATACTATTTTGCCCGTTACGAATAAATAAGTATTCGTAACGGACACTATTTTGCCCGTTACGAATATCTTAAATGTAACGGGCAAAGCTTTGCCCGTTACAAATAGCCTGTTACGAATGAGATTTTTTCCACTGGTGTAATGACAAAAATGACGAAAATTTTTTTCTTTTGCATCTTCGTTTTCTTGTGTCTGCACACACACTCAGATCATAAACATACACACACTCACAAGTCATACACATGTCATATCATGGCAAGTCAAGTCAAGCAAATCAATCACAATATATACGAGTCCCTTAGCAAATTTATTTTTGCAGTTCTCATTTATAGCCCACGTTTGGGGACAATCAAACTATCTACAACCTACGTTTAGGGACAATCAAACTATCTACAACCCCTGTTCGGGAACAAGCAATCCATCTACAACCCTCGTTTGGGGACAAGGGAACCATTTACAGCCCGCGTTCGGGGACAAGTGAACCATCTACAACTCACATTCGCAGACAAGTGAACCATCTACAGCCCACGTTCGGGGACAAGCGAACCATCTACAGCCCACGTTCAGGGAAAAGCGAGCCATTTACAGCCCACGTTCGGGGACAAGCAAACCATCTACATCCCACGTTTGGGGACAAGCAAACAATTTACAATCCACGTTCAGGGACAAGCGAACCATCTACAGCCCACGTTCAGGGATAAGCGAACCATCTACAGCCCACGCTCGGGGACAAGCGAACTATATATAGCCCAGTTCGGGGACAATCGAATTGAACCATCATCATTTTAGTGATCATCTCCTAAGCGAAGATGGTTCACGGCGCAAGGTTCTCGATACACAGAGACTTGCAATATCATCATCAGACAAGTATTTCCTCAAGCATGGAAAATTGTCGGTCGTTGCCACCTCTCAAGATGAAGAAGTCGATGATTATATCATCTATCGACTTTCCTCGAGCATGGAAAATATCTTAACAAACATCATCCGGTGGATTTATTCAAGCATAGAAAGCTACCAAAATCATTTGTCACCGATACACTGGTGTCAGATACCATCGAACATATTTGCCACTGATACACTAGTGTCAGATACGCATTTTATCCCTTTACACTTTTATCTATGGAACTAACATTTTTCCTGCAGGTATCGGCGTATAAAGTGTGATTAAGGATTGCAAAACGTCTTAAATCATTCTCCATCCCTATCGACTACTTTGACTATCGTTTTCAAAACCAACGTTTGTACAAACTCAGTCAAAGTGGGGGGCTTCTATAGACACCTAAAAACGTCTCCCCATAACCAAACCTGATAATGAACAACCTTTCATCGCCATTATTTTTCGGGTTGAGTATTTAATCTTTGGAGTGCTTAAATCCATGTTTCCATTCAATACATTTCATAAACCAATCTAATTCCTAGCTTATTTCCCTAAAACAAAACTTACTTTCCAATTTTCGTGTCCACGTCACAAAACCGAGAGAAACTGATTTTTTGGCCATATTATTTTAATCCAATTATTATTTGGTTGGATAGGCCTTGAAATAATCTTTCCAACAATATATCATAAGCCCAATTCCGATTTAAACACAAAAAAAGATATGAGCAAAATACTTAACTCGACCCAAAACCGACACCCTTTCACTAAAACAGCCGTATATTAAAATATAAAAAATATTTTGACCTGATTATAATTGGTTAGAAAGTAGACTTAATTATCTTTCCAATGATATATTATATGCCTTATTCCGAGTTAAGTATCAAAAGTTATCATAGTTTTAAAAACGCGTAAAAAAATTGAAATTACCGCATATTAGCTAAAATTGCCGCGTCATGGGGGATGATGACGTGGCACGGGTCCTAGTACCGTTCCAAGGTATTCTTCATTGTGTCGCTGTGCTTTCTCGGGTTTTTTTCGCGTTCCTTTTATCGCGCGTTTATGAACCTTAACGCAAATCTGAAAAATTGTTCACCGTGATACAACGCCACGTGCAACGCCACGGTGGACTTTGTCTCGTCACGGCTTTTTTTCCGTGACACAGGATTTTTTCGTGTTTTCTCCGTGTACACACTACACGCGCTTTATCATTTTAGGGAAAAATAATGCACCGCGACACGACAATCTATACCGTGTCACGGCAGACACTAACAGTGTCATGGTGCCCCAAATGAGGGTTTTTATCTTTTCTAGGGTGCCGTGTGATCCCCTACTCATTTCCTCTATAAATACCCCCCTCCTTTTGTAGTCCAGGGCACCAAATCATTCTCTCTCTCTCTCTCTCTCTCTTTACACCAAAAATCATTCTCTTTCTCTTTACACCAAAAATTATTCTCTCTCCCTCTACACCAACAATCTTTCTCTTCTCTCATTCTCTCTTGATTTAGCCTAAAACCTATCCATCTTATTCTTCCATAATATTTTCTTAAAGCACTCCAAGGAGTCCATAGAACACCCGAGGTTCCGTCCTTAAACCAAGGCACGAAAGGTAGAATTAACTGTGGGTTTGGACCAAATCAACTCTAATTTTAATTTAATTTAATTTTGATTTAATTATATATTTATTGAAGTTACTAACAGTTTATTCATGATTTAGCAATTCAAGGAAACGCAAAAAGTGAGTAATTAATCACTTAATTACTCTTATTAGGTTTATTATGATTTGATTTGACTAACATTTTATTGTTGAATTGCTTCTAATATTAATGTTGATTTTTAATATATTTTATGATCAACATATTGTATATTAAAGGGAATATGTAATTGAAAATCACGACTAATAAGATAATTTAGACAACCGGTTTAGGTTCCTTTAATCTTGTTATAAATCGAAGTGATCACGATGTTTTAGAAATATATGTGTTGCATTAATATTCAACCAATTTAGCTTAATATTAGTTTGGAGCAAATTGAATCTTTTTTTGCATGCCTTTGAGATCGCGAGAATCACTTTTCACTATAAGAATTGAGTGGAGGCCAATACGGGCAAATGTGACTCCATGACTCACTTCATACCATCATCCCCGATCTTCCTTTCGTGGTTCCGAACCATATGAAGTTAGTAATATCATGGATTATGAATGGGGTGTAACCTTCATAGGTCAATCATTGTTGCCTTTCGTTGTCCCTTTATCGTGGTTGCATGTTATGATCCGTGAACGGTTTACAAGTTCCTTAAAAACTTGTTGGCGACTCCCTACTTTTCTTGTCCCTAATTGTATATGTCGATTCCCACATCATAAGAGTGCCAAGCATATTCACACATGCTTTAACGTAGGTGCACTTCAAATGACGCCTACAGGGGTGCTGGTGTTTTTGTTTGGTGATTTCTTGATTATGGTGTTGAGGATTGATCACCCTTTGCTTCACAATTTAGGTATACCACCAAATTTCTAATTTTTAGCCTACCCTCGCCCTTCTCGTCCTTACAATGCAACCCTTCTCAAGACCTTTTGACCTTTTTAGTTGAGTCACAAGACGGTGGAGGGATATGTGGGACAAGCTTATAGAGCGGTATGCCTTAGTCAAGATGTCGAATAGCCTTATATCTCTTTCTATTTCCGGTTCCTTCGAGGAATCATTGAGATGCTTGCTAAAAGTGGATTTGTTGTTAATTGGGAGAATGTACTAAAATATTTTAAGATGAAAGTGAATTGCGTTTCATTAGTTCTCTATGCTTAGCATATCCTATGTTTCAATCAACCTTAGATATCTTGGAATGTGCATATCATTATTGTATAGAAAATTGTTTATTCACTTGCATTAGGTCATTTGTAAAAGTTCGTTTCATTAGCTACTTGTTTGAATTTTTTATTTTACTTTCTTTTAATGATTTTGCCTCATTTTACCTTAAAGAGTTATGGGTCAAACTCTTAAGATACCCTTACGAGACCTCACTCATCCTCAGTGGCGACTTTGGGGTTTAAAGGGCTTGTTGTAGCTAAAAACAACCGTGATTCATACGAAAGTGAGTCTTAGTGTATATTCTTATTTCTTACTTTCTTTGTTTGAATAAGTCTTTCATCCTATTTCTTCTTGCTTTTGTTTTGCTCGAGGACGAGCAAAAGTTTAGCTTGGGGGAGTTTGATGAGTGTCATTTATGGCACTTTAGCTTCTTTTAGGATGATTTTACGTGACTTTTGTATCTCTTTTATTTCCTTTTCTCTAGTTTTGCTTGTATTTTCTTTACTTTGCATTTTCTTAACTACTAGAGAACGGGTTTTTAGTATCAGAAAATTTAGTATAGGAAATTTTTTCTGATACTAAAAAACTCAACTATATTGGATAATTTTTTTTCTGACACTATTTATTGGGTTTTTACACAAACCAAGTATTAGACTTCATTATAGTGTCAGAATTTTTTTTAATCTGTTACAAATGAGATAGTTGTATCAACTACGTTCCAATACTAAGAGATTTTTTTACTATCGAAATAATTTTGTTACAAATAAACACTTGTAGTAACAATTTCTTCCGATACCAAAGCCTATTAGAAATGTGAACTGTTAAACATCGCCCGCAAATTCCTACATAAAGCCCACAAAATAAGAGTGAAATGACACTTTTGCCCTCAAACTAAAAAACACAATTTCTCTCTCTACTCTCTACTTCCACTTTCTCTCTCTAAATTATTTCCAGAGCTATGTCGAGGCGGCCCGGCAAGGAAGTGGCGGCACCGGCGGTGGGCGGAAGGCGGTTTGCCGGCCAGAAGGTAATTTTTTAAATTTTTGTAATTTTTTTTAAAAAAAAAAACCTCCGGCAACGGTGGGGCGCCAAGGCGAGACGCCACCACCACGGAGGAAGCGCCTAGGCAAGACGCCCATACGGTGGTGGCGGCGCCTAGCCCAGACGCCACTACCACGGCGGCGGCGCATAGGCTAGGCGCCACGACCGTGGTAGTGGCGTCTGGGCTAGGCGCCGCCACCACCGTACGGGCGTCTTGCCTAGGCGCCTCCTTCTCTTTTTTTTTTAAAAATTTTTTTTTTGTTTTTTTTAATTTTAAATTTTTTTTTCGAATTTTTTTTTTTTTTTTTAAAAAATTTGTTTTTCTTTTTTTTAAATTGTATGTTCCCTTTTTTTTTATCTTTTTTTTTTAAATTTTGTTTTTTTATTTGTTTTAATTTTATGTTCTATTTTTTTTTAAAAAAAAAAATTGTTTCTGGTTTTAATTTTATGTTCCTATGTATTTTTTTTTTTTTGAATTATATTTTTGTATGTAAAAAAATTATAAGTTCCCTTTTTTTTTTATAAATTTTCTTTAAAATTTTGATGTTCTTCTTTTTTTAAGTTTTTGCAATTTTAAATTTTTTAAGTTTTGTTAGTTTTTTGTTTTTGGTTTTTTCTTTGCATTTTTGATTTTTTGTTTTTGTTTATGTTTTTCATTTTTTAGTTTGTTGTTTATATTTTTTGTTTTTGGTTATATATTTTGTTTTTGGTATATTGTTTTGTTCATATTTATATTTTTTTATGTTTATATTTATATTTTTTATGTTTTTATTTATATTGTGTTGTTTATATTTTTATTTTTTATGTTTATAATTTTATTTTCGTTACTTGTTTATTTGCTTTTGTGTTTATTTTCGTCCTTTTTTGTATTTATATTTTTTGTTTTTGGTAATATTTTTTGTTTTTGTTTTTGTTTATGTTTGTTTTTTTTTGTTTTTGGTATATGTTTATGTTTATATTTCTTATGTTTATATGTATATTGTCTTGTATATATTTATATTTTTTATGTTTATAATTTTATTTCCGTGACTTGTTTATTTGCTTTTGTGTTTATTTTCGACTTTTTTTAATTTGTTTTCGTTATTATTTTTCGTTATTTACTTGGAGTTAGGCATCGCAATTTGGACCTGGTGCGGGGAAGAGTATTGACGTCGTGAGGAGTACGATCTACTCAATGGAGAGCTCGGGGCCCAGACACGTTAGATCCCGTGGTATTTCGGCCTCGGCCCGCAGAGAACGGGTGCACTGTTCTGCGGACGATCAAGATGATGATGATGATGAGGAGGAGGAGGAGGAGGAGGTCGAGGAGGAGGAGGTCGAGGACGAGGATGATGCAGATGAGGATGTCGACGATCAGAGTGGACCATATGATGATTACGGTCCATTCAGTCAGAGGCTTGATGATACGGGTATGAGACGCATAGGGTAGATGTGCGTAAGGGTCGAGATGGTAGGTTTGTTAGTAGATCTGGCACATCATCTGCGTCCACTGTGTCTGCGGGTAGCAGAAAACGGTCGAGGGCCGTTAATGATTCTTGGATGGTGAGGGGTGAGGTGGCCGGGGGACCTATAGACGGGAGTGTGATTCCTAGCTTTTTAGGACACATCGCTACCCGTATTTGGGAGGACCAGGAGAGGGCTTTGGATACAAGCATTTTGAAATGCCAAACCCGGGAAAAGACTTGTAGGTTTTTGTGTAGCTGGGCTGATGCTTGGCCGGAGGAGAGCGAGATGGTCGGGCGATTGAGGGGCACTAGAGTGAGTCACCTTCCTGCCACCATGCACGACAGGATTGACTGGACGCTGATCACGGCTTTCGTTGAGCGATGGCAGCCGGATACGAACTCGTTCCACCTTCCGTTCGGTGAGATGACGATCATGTTGCATGACGATCATCTCGCGCAAACACCAGGGCAGAACCGTTGTACATGGATAATAGGCTCGACTATGTAAACCAAGGCCGAAATGCATGACTGCACACTTGTAGATGTTTGCAACGGCAAAGAGATCAAGTGGCGCATCGAACCAATGATTTTGATCGCAAGGTCCCCCTCCCCACCGGATACGCTGCAGAGACCTATCCAAGTCCTCGCCGTACACATGGCCATACACATCTCGGTTTGATGCGATTTCACTGTACATCAACTGCCGCACTAAACCGTAGTTGTCTTCACCCATTTGAAACACATCCGCCACAACCCGAAATCCGCAGTTACCATCTGCAATGACATCATTCCACCCGTCCAAGAATGACATCATGATATTAGGGATCCTGTCCTTATATGGAAAATGTTCAATGTCCATTCTCCCTGTTACACACATCAATAAACACAATAAACAAGTCAACAGTAAACTAATCAAACAGTCAACAAAAGAAATTGAAGTCGAATGTCTTACCGGTGCCGGGCATATTCACCGACGACGATGATTGGCTGCCACTTGATGAGGATGTACGACCACGGCCACGGCCACGGCCACGACCGCGAATGTACTCAAACGCACTCTTGTTCCGCCGTGGTTGTCGACCCCTAGGTCGCTCGACCCCTTCCGGTTCCTCGGTATCCAAACACGATGTATTGAACATGTCATGAAGTATGTGTGTAGCACTACGAATGATCGAAGGGTGACTGGAGGACACTTGGTCAAACATCAACTGAAACTGCTCCAACTCCTCCTGTTCACGGTGAACCGTATGCGGAACAGCATGCTCTCCGATAACGAGCGTCCGCCAGAATGGATGAACCTGATCGACATGTAACGACGCCCTGTCTTGCGTAATTACGCGGTGAATGGTGCATGCACAAGGTAATCCATGAGTCACTGATAATAACACACATTTCATTTCAAATTTATCAAACATAAATAAACAAACAAAAAAAACCATAATAAAAAAAATAAACAAATACAAAACAAAATAAAACAAAATAAAACAAAAACAAACACAAAATAAAAGATGCATTAAAAAAACTTAATTAAAAAAAAAATTAATTCCCTCCAAAAAAAATTAAAAGGAAATAAAACAACACAAGCAAACAAAAACAAAAAAATTCCAAAAAAAACAAAAACAAAACAAAATAAAACACCACAAGCAAAAAAAAATCAAAAACAAATCAAAACAAATAAACAAAAAAAACAAAACAAATCAAAAAAAAAAACAAAAACAAAACAAAACCAAACAAAAAAAAAACAAACAAACAAATAAAAAAAAAACAAAAACAAAACAAACAAACAAAAAAAAAACAAACAAACAAATAAAAAAAAAAAACAAAAACAAAACAAACAAACAAAAATAAAAACAAACAAACAAATAAAAAAAAACAAAAACAAAACAAAAAACCAAAAAAAAAAAAAGGGGATTAAATTAAAAAAAAAAAAAAAAAAAAAAAAGAAAAACAAACAAAAATAAAAACAAACAAACAAATAAAAAAAAAAACAAAAACAAAACAAAAAAAAAAAAAAAAAAGGGGATTAAATTAAAAAAAAAAAAAAAAAAATAAAATATATTCCCCTAGTGGCGCCTGGCCAGGACGCCGGAGCCACGGCCTGGGCGCCTGGTCAGGACGCCGGAGCCACGGCCGGGGCGCCTGGTCAGGACGCCGCCGCCATGGTGGCGGCGTTCTTGCCAGGCGCCCTGGCCGTGGCTCCGGCGTCCTGGCCACGCGACACTACCATGGTCGAGGCTTCTCCACCAGGCGCCGTTACCACGGTGGCGGCGTCCTGGCTAGGCGCCACAACCACGGCATGGCCTTTTGGCTAGGCGCCAGCCACCATTTCGTCCTTACGATGCGTTACGAACCTCGTTTTCCGATGACGACGGCGATTCTCCGGTGATCCTCGGCGATCCGGTGCTGCTCCACATTTTTTTAGTGCGAAAAATTTATCTTCGGTTAAAATTATAAAAAGGGCAAATTTGTCAAAAAATTATAAAATGTGGGCTTTATGTAGAGATTTGCGGGCGATGAATAACAAGTCCCATTAGAAATATCATTAACTAGCGTTGGCGTACATTCAAATTTCAGAAAAGCGGTGCATTCAAATTACTTCGTATAGAAAAGTTCAACCTTTTATCGCACAAATTCATTTTATTTCCCTCCTATTGTATTTCAAACCCATTTTTTTTTATGATTTAACCCTTACTATTAGCACTGTCAAAACGGTTTGACAGTTCGGGTTCGGTTCGGTATTAAATCGGGTCGGTTTGAAATCGGTTTAAGTGTCTCACAGGTCGGTTTCAGTTCAGTTTAAATAGTTATCGGTTCGATTCGGTTTCGGTTTATTCTTGACCGATTTTAATTTGGTTCGGGTTCTAAACGGATCGAGAAGTAAACGGTTCGGTGCAGCCAGGTTGCGGTTTGTTAACGGTTCGGTGTAAACGGTTTTTTACACCGGTTCAAACAGTTTCGGGTTGAAAACGGTTTCAAGTTAGAAACGGTTCGGTTCTTTTTCGGTTCAGTTTTATTTTGGTTTGCCTTTTATACGGTTTAACGTTATTCATATCAGTTTTATTTCACGTTTACTAAATTATGGTTCGGAACGGTTTTTTTATTTAAAAAGTCGGTTTTTGATCGGGTCGTTTGGATTTGGGCAGTTAAACGATTTTGGTTTGAAATTTCATAGTACTTGCTAACCTTTTGCTGGTTAACAAGTTTTATATCAAGCCGAGACTTCATCACTTCATATTAGGCATTAGGCATTATATATTATATACAAATTCTCATCGATTTTAAAAATACATATGTTATTTTCAAGTTTAATCATATTAATCTTACTAGTTTATTATGAAGTAACGTAGATTATAAAAATTTAGTGTATTAATGAATTATTATTGTTTTACTATCACGTTATTAGCTGCTTCTTATTCAATCATCTAATTGATGTGTCATAATCATGATTTGATGAGTTATCGTGACATCGAAATTACAGTTTGATTTATAGACGGTTCGGTTTGTAAGTGGTTCAGTTTATAAACGGTTCGGTGCAAACGGGTCGCAGTTTATTAACGGTTCGGTGTAAACGATTTTTACCTCGGTTCAAACGGTTTCGGGTTGGAAACGGTTTCGAGTTATAAACGGTTCGGTTCTTTTTCTGTTCGGTTTGTTAACGGGTTCGGTTCTTATACGGTTTGACATTATTCGGATTAGTTCGGTTTCGGGTTTACTTAAATACGGTTCGGGTCGATTTTCGATTTTACAAAATCGATTTTTAATTGGTTCAGTTCTTATTTGGGTCGATTGATTTCGGGCAGTTAAACGGTTTCGGTTTGAAATTTGACAGCACTACTTAGTATCATAAATTCATACAGTACTAGCTACAAAACCCCCCCCCCCCCCCCCCCCCCCCCCCCCCCCCCCCCCCCCCCCCTTTTTTTTTTACGGGATACAAACCCTTCTTGGTTCTCTACTCTCTCAATTCACTCTTTTCCAGCCACCTCTCCTACTTTCTCTACTATGAACTCTGATGATGTGGGAGGCATTGGTGAATGACTGAATAGCCACTGCACTGCTAACAGCCGCGGCGACTGTCACCGTTAACACCGGCGAAGTCAACCTGAAAGTCGTCATTTCTGAAATCTGAAGCGAAATTCGACTATAGCCAAGCTTCAACATCTTCTATACCATGTGCTCAAACAAGTAATTCCTTCTCTTTTCGTCTCTTTAATGTAAAATTTCCTTCAATTTTTAAACTTAACCCTAAATTTTCAAGGTTTCAATTTATGAATTTAATTAGGGTTTTTGACAAGCAATTGAATATGACATACGTACACGCATTTTATCTACTCGATGTTGAGAAGATTTTGTGGATTGACAGAGAAACTATGATTGATTCTTAAATAAGGTTAGTGCGAATTGTAATTTTGTGATTTGAATAGGGAATTTGAATTATAGAAAATACTTAAATTCTTTATTTATCGGGAATTATTCAATTAAAATTAGGATTTAGAATGCAACTTGTCATAAAATTTGGTAACTGATACAAGTATAAAGCTTTTGTATTAGAATGATGATCTGAATTTCTTATTTTCTTGAACCAAACCTGAGCCAATAACGAACCAAAAGACGGAGCACCACAGCTTGTAATCACTATGCTTTAGTTTTCAAGTTATCAAATCAATCTCTAGTAATACTTTTCTACTATTACAATAGTCCAACTTATTTAATAATTCCCTAATTTTAATTGTAATCTGATGGGGTTATGATTAATAGAGGTTAGTGAAATATTAGCGTGTATGTGATGGAGTAGTATAGAATTAGGTAGAAATTAGCTTAGCCTTCATTCATCAACACTGCCGAAATATATAATACAAATATCTCTAGAATCCTAGTCCTAGATAAATATGGAAACTAGAGAAGATAAGGAAATAGAAAAGATATCATGACAAAATAATTATTCTCCTAAATATATGATATTTCCTAAATATATCCTAATACCCCCCTCAAGTTGGAGCATTGGGATCGAAAATGCCCAACTTGGAAAGAAGGTTATCAAACTGTGCTTTTTCGAGTGCCTTTGTGAATATGTCCGCCAATTGATCTTTAGTAGACACATGTGACAGGGAAATTAAGCCTTCAGTAATCGCATCTCGAACAAAATGGCAATCAACCTCAATATGTTTCGTACGCTCATGAAACACAGGGTTCCTCGCAATATGCAATGCAGACTCACTATCACAGAACAATTTAATAGCTTTAGGATGTTGCACTCCCAAACTTAGCAATAAGCCCTTGAGCCACTTTAATTCGCAAGTGGCACCATTCATACACTTGTACTCCGCCTCTGCAGAAGAAGTAGAAACTGTAGGTTGCTTTTTAGTTTTCCAAGAAATCGGTGATTTTCCTAGAAACACTAGCCAACCTGTCAACGAGCGTCGAGTTAAAGGACATGTTGCCCAATCTGAATCACACCATCCCTCTAAAGTGAGCTCACTATCCGAGTGCAATAATATGCCTTGACCCGGAGATCCTTTGAGATATCGAACGACTCTCAAGGCTGCCTCCCAATGTTCTATGCGGGGTGCTTGCATGAACCTCTCCTTACAGTCGAGAGATTACTTTCCTCTCGCTTCGACGACTCCGCTCTTACCCTTTTCTTTCGGTCGAGCTAGGCTTCACTTCCTATCACCCTTAGTTGAAGGAGAGCGTAGGAAGCCCCAATGATAAACCACTAGCACCTTCCTCGTTGAGGCGCCAAAAGGTGTCCCAAAGTCTCGTTAGAACGCAGGATTGGAGCCTTCTAGAGCATCCAGAGCTTGGCACCATGATGTCCCCGGGATTGTAGCCAGGGATCGTCAACAAACCTTAGCTATTCGTTGGATCCTGAGACAAAATGTGAACTGAGTAGGCTAGATCTGGTCGAGTGACCCCAAGATAAATGAGCCGTCCCACAAGACGACGATAAGCCTCCGGATTCTGCAGAAATTCGCCACTAACATGAGCGAGTCTTTGATTTTGTTCCATGGGAAACCCACTAGGCTTTGCACCCAATAAACCTGTTTCAGAAATAATATCCAGAGTATACTTTCTCTGACACAAAAATAATCCGGAAGAACTACGAGCCACCTCAATGCCTAGAAAATATTTAAGGGAACCAAGGTCTTTCATTTTAAAACAATCACTAAGATATGCCTTGAAAGCTTTAAGTGCAGCGGAATCATTCCTAGAAATAATAAGATCATCCACATAAACTAAGACATTTATTTGAGTTTTGCCATTAGTATATGTAAATAAGGAATAGTCTGAATAGGATTGGATAAAACCATACCGTTTTAGGGCAGTTGTCAACTTCGCATACCAACAGCGAGGGGCTTGTTTCAAGCCATACAATGACTTGCGCAACCTACACACCAAAGAAGGATCCGAGCTTTCAAACCCGGGGGGCAACTTCATGTATACCTCCTCTGCTAGATCACCATGTAAAAAGGCATTTTGTACATCCATTTGATGTATTTCCCAATTTTTGCAAGCTGCTATTGCGAGAAAAGCATGAACGGTGGTCATCTTGGCAACCGGAGCAAAAGTCTCATCATAGTCAATTGTTGGTGATTACCGAACACCACTAATCTTGATTTAAGACGCTCAATATCACCATTGGATAAATATTTGGTCTTATAGACCCATTGACTGCCAAGAGCACGTTTCCCGGGAGGAAGGTGTTCTAGAGTCCATGTACCATTATCCTCTAAAGCACGGATTTCGTCCGTCATAGATTTGCGCCATCCATCATGTTTCATTGCCTCCTTGAATGATTTTGGGTCATTACCCTTAACAATTGCTGCAAGAAATTTCCGATAATTGACAGACAAATTGTCACAATTTATATAATGTGCTAAAGGATAAGGAGTACCTGAGGAGTGACTGGAAGGAGAAGAGAGTGGACTATTAGCAAAAACCGTATGTGTCACAAAATCACGATGTAAGACATTGGGAAACTTTTGACGATGTCCACGACCCAATTCTTGTGCATTAGCACCAATACCGTGAGCTTCATTGTGTGAAACTGGCCCATCATCAATATGAACTATGGGAAAGGAGCTGGACTGCTCTAATGTAGCATGCGGCCCCCATCAGAGAGAGGCTGGTCCGAGCTGGGCTGTTGTGAAGCCTGCGGCCCAGCAGGAGAAGTGACCGAGATGGGCTGTGAAGTAGCATGCGGCCCAGCAGACTCCTTGGCCGAATTGGGCTGAGGTGAAGATAGCCCATCAACCGATGAAAACCCATCTGCTTGGACAGAAGGCGTTGGGTCACTAATTGAATTGCCCACTTCATGATCTTCATCAACAATTAAATCTGAAAAATCCTCATGAACATTTTTATCCACATACTCATGTACCGGAATGTTCACTTCTTCCGGACTCCCAAACGGAAAAATTTCTTCGATAAATTTCACATCCCGAGAGACGAAAAATTCCTTTGTAGTCAAGTCAAACAATCTCCATCCTTTTTTACCAAACGGATATCCCACGAACATACACTTCCGACTATGACTGGCAAACTTATCACCTTTGGTTTTTTGATTATGTGCAAAACATAGACATCCAAAGGTTCGCATGGCATCAAAGAAGGGTGGTTTGTCAAAAAGAATCTCAAAAGGAGTTTTATTTCCCAAAAGAGGAGTTGGGGTACGGTTAATCAAATGTGCGGCGGTGAGTACACATTCCCCCAAAAAATAAATTGGCAATTTTGCTTGAAACCTCAAAGCACGACTCACATTCAAGATATGTTTATGTTTCCGCTCTACACGCCCATTTTGTTGAGGAGTTCCCTCACAAGATGTTTGAAATAAAATTCCAGTAGCTCTAAAGTACTCAAGTAAACAATTAAACTCTGTCCCATTATCACTTTGGACTACTTTAATTGTTTGAGAAAATTGTCTATCAACCATAGCAACAAAAGTCATGAACATTTGAAAAACTTCTAATTTATCAACCAACAAATAAACCCAAACTGCTTTTGAATAATCATCAACAATTGTTAAAAAATATCGAGCTCCACATGACGAAACATGTCGATATGGACCCCAAAAATCACAATGAATTTTCTCAAAAATTCGAGATGCTTTATTATTACTTAAAGGAAATTTGTCTCTCGGATGCTTAGCATGCATACATACTTCACAACCTTTATTTAAATGATCTTTGCTATTACTAACATGAGGAATTAACTTAACTACTTTTTCCGACGGATGCCCAAGTCGACGATGCCACAACTCCAACTTTGATGTAGCTTCCACGGTTGACACGGTCGGTTTGCTAAAATAGTATAGTCCAACTCTCCTAGTTCCCGTTCCAATCAGCTCCTTCGCTTGGTCCTGTATAGCACAAACATTAGAATCAAATTGGACAATAGTATGTAAGTCATCATTAAGTTGGGAAACAGATAATAAATTGCAACTCAAGTTTGGGACATAAAGAACCCCGATGAGAGTAATCTTATCCGACAAAGGTACGGATCCCACCAAGGTAGCTATGACTTTGTCACCGTTTGGTAGCCCAACGGGGCATTCAATTTTCTGAGTATCAATTAACCAAGAACTATTTCCTGTGACATGGTGAGTTGCTCCGGTATCAATAATCCAAGATGAAACATCGAACTTACCGGTCAATCTATTTTCGGGAATTTGAGCATTACCAACAACCCCGACAATGGCTTTCCATTGTTCGGGTGTAAAAATCTGCCCCAAAACTGAAGTAGGAGAAGAATTTGAGGTAGTACCCCCTGCTGCCGCATTAGCACGAGGCTGGCCTCGTCCCTGGCCCTGTCTTCTGTTATCAGGTCTACCCACGGGATCGTAACAGTGAGTCTCAGGATGACCCTTTTTCTTGCAATAACCACAAATCGTCTCTGCCCATCAGCTTGTGGCCTCGTGCCCTGTCCTCCGACACTTGCTGCAAACCGGTTTCTCGTTGCCATATCCTCGACCCCTCCCACGACCCACACCAGCCGCATCAGACCCTGCACGTACAGCGAACCCTACAACATCAGATGGGGCGGGTGGGGCTTCTTGTTTCGAATTGCGAACACGCTCGTCTTGTGTCACTAATTGATATGCTCTGTCAATACTTGGGAGTGGGTCTTGATACAAAATTTGTGTACGAAGAGAGGAGTAAAAATCAGAATCTAGTCCCATTAAAAAATCATGTAGCCTTGCCTGCGCTCGACGCTCTTCATGTAGCCTCCCTGCCAAACATTTATCGCAACACGAACATGAAATCAGAGGTTCGTGACGATCAAGCTCTTGCCACAGAGTATGTAACTTGCCATAATACATAGATACGGACATTGATTTGGTCTGCTCACACTTTGCAATCGAGGAACGCAATTGTTGAATGCGAGGACCGTTAGTTTGAGCGAATCGTTGTTTAAGATGATCCCAAAAGGGTTTAACTTCTCTGAATTTTGACAGAGTTGATCTTAAATTGGGGTCGATTGTATTTGTTATCCATGATATTAGCATAGCATTTATCGCTGTCCAATCGGACTTTGTGCAAGGAGGTGACGGTTTAGTGATTGTACCATCTAAAAAATCAAATTTTCGTCGAGCTTCGAAGGCCGTTTGAATGTCGGCAGCCCAAGTTTCATAATTTTCAGCTGTTAAACGAGTAGGAGTGATGAAATCCCCCGGCCGATCTTGAGAACCGAGGTAATATGGTGAATTTGGTTCAATTTTTGGAGGTGGTGGTGGTGGTTGATCAGCCATGATCAATTACCAGAATCTAAAAAACTTTGCTCTGATACCATATAGAATTAGGTAGAAATTAGCTTAGCCTTCATTCATCAACACTGCCGAAATATATAATACAAATCTCTAGAATCCTAGTCCTAGATAAATATGGAAACTAGAGAAGATAAGGAAATAGAAAAGATATCATGACAAAATAATTATTCTCCTAAATATATGATATTTCCTAAATATATCCTAATAAGTAGTAATGTTGGTGGTGGTTCTTAATTATTGTGTTCTGATTTTGTGTAACTTTTAAACCTGCAAATATATTACAGAGGGTGCTATAAAGAGCAAATTAAAGGAATGGGTTTAGTTGTTTTGTTCTAACAAAAATTTATGATTCCAAGACAATCATTATTCGTTGTTGTCTTTAGCAAGTGCATGGTTTAGTTTAGTAGTGGAAACACTATTATCTGTGGTTTATTTTTTATAAGTTGAAAACTTAAGCTACACTATACAAAAGGTTGTATATGACAATGAAGTCATAGCTGAAATTCTCCACTCATACCCAAAGTAGATATGCTTTGACAACTGAGTGTCTTAGCTTGTGGGATCTTTTGTCTATAGTATTGTTAAATTCTTAAAGCTTGTATTTTTGTTGGGTCTGGTTATGTATTGCATGATTTTATTAGGTGATGTTCAAGATGTGAACTATGTTGTTGGATGCTTTCATTAGGTGATGCTCAAGATGTGATGAATTATATTGTCGAACGCTTTCATTAGGTGATGCTCAAGATGTGAACCATGTCCAAATTTGAAGATTGTTGATGGATGGGTATAAGTTTTTTTTGGAAATCAAGTAGCTAATGTATACTTCAAAAAAATATTATGCTACAATCATGTATCTTGAATGGTGGTGTAATAATGTAAAATGTGCTTAGTATGCATCCGTTTTTTGTATTAGCTACTTTATGTAAAATTTACTAAAATTTGTTGCTATTCAGCAAAAATCCCTATTAGGGATCGCAGTTGGTAGGAGTCGAACTTGTGACCTCAAAGTCACATGGTGAATCTCTTACCAACTATACCAAGTACTATTTATTTACTTTTATGCATATAATTTATAATAAGTGAACGAAATATTAGAGACGAAATTAAAAATTTTGTCTCTAAATAGGGACAAAATAAAAAATCTGTCTCTATTTGATGTCATTATAGCAACAAATAAATTTTACATAATAGCAAAAAGTGGCCTACATATAAATTAACTACAAAATGTAACACACTTTGTTTTCAATGGCAACACATAAAAAAATACGTTATCATTTAGCAATAATAGTTTGGAAGACTTGTTTCTAATGGAAACAATTCAAAAATTCAATGCCTTTAATTGTTTCTAAATCAATACAAAGAAAATATTTGTTGTCATAGTTTGTTACTATTTGGCAACAATAGAAAAATATGATGTCATATAGTAACAACTAGTAAGACAATTTATTTTAAACAACAATAAATAAAAAACATGTAGCCATTATTTATTAAAAAAACTAAAGCATAAAATGTCGTTTTAAATTAGGCAATGAAAAAAGTTATATTTGTTGCTATTTAGCAACGTTTTAAAAATTTGTTGCCAAACTTAGTTCCTAAAAAGCTTTTATATTTATAGTGTTTATCGTTTATCTTTATTTAATTTTTAGTTTTATTTATTTGTCGTAATTTTATCTTAGTTTATTTGGTTTCTTTTTATAATTTATTTCCTTTTATTTGTCTCTGATGATTTTATTTGTCTCTGATGAGTGACATTTATGTCACTATTAGGGAGTAGTTTTAGAGTCAATTTCAGACTCGGTTTCTCTTATTTTTCCTTGTTTTCTCTTTAATAAAGTTTCTTTTATTTTATAGTGTTTAGTTTAATTTCTTTATTTAATTAGTTTTAGTTTATTTCGTATTTTATTTGCTTTTGATTTGTTTTATTTCGTCCTTTATTTTCCTTGATAGTGATCTATTTTACTTTTATTTATTCTAATTAGTTTTGAGTCTTTTTCATATTTTATTTGTTTGTGTTTTATTTAATTTTGTTAGTTTTAGTTTTATTTCTCTCATTTTCTATTTTAGTTTATTTAGTTCTATTTTATTCTTTATTTTATTTTATTTTATTTCTCTCGGTTTCACCCTCGGGTTTGTTTGTGTGTAGGTTTGAGTTCAAGGTCCAGGCCGAGCCATCCAATCACAACCGAAAACTGTCATCAATCCCCTCAAACTCCCGCAGCCACCAAACACCTTGCTGCCACCATTATCCACCACCCTACCTTTCCCTTATCCTCCACCACAACAAAACACCAAGCTCCCCTGCTCCACACACCTAGCAGTCAACAATTGCAGCCCGTAATTCACATCTGACCTGAACCTCAACACCAAATAACAGTCCACATCATATCTCACGCCACCTGCCAGTATCACCATTTCACGCAATCTCCAGCCACCACACCAGCTCCACCTACAACCTTCACCACGACACCAAGCAGCAACCCACCCCTTCCATTCACCACCTCACGCACTGCTCCCTCACGCAACCCGCAGCTCACGACCAACTCTCTATTCCCCTGCACCTCTCCTCGCAACACTACCAAAACCAGCAGCAGTCGCGCAGTGTCCGGCCACCGCATGCCGCACCCCTGCTGCAGCTCCTCCATCATCACCGCACCAATTGCAACCCTCCAATCTCTGCGCATACCGCAATTCGCCCCCTTAATTAAGCAAATATCAGAGTAAATTCCAATTTCAATCAAGTCCAGGCAAACCGCATAGGAGTTCGATCGAAATGCCAAAAAGTGTCAAAAAAGTCAGAAACTTTCGATGTTTTCTTATTAGAAGAGAAGCGGTCGAACACACCCCATGGTTCGACCGAACCAACCCCGTAGTTCGGTCGAACCTGATCAAACCATTTCACGAGCTCTGCGCGTGATTACTTATGAAGATCGAATGGTGTTGATTTATTGATGCCGATTTTTCATGATAATGAGCGGTGTTGATTGAAGGGTAATTGTTGCTGATATTGTTTGATGGGATGTGAAGCATGGGATCATTTCCCCATTTTAGAGCAGCTCCAATTCGAAGAAGAAGGGGAATTAGAGGGGGGTCTGACTTTGGTTTTGGTGGACTTTATTTGTTTTCATTTTTATTTTCTTTTTCTTTTAATTTCCTTTTCCTTTTACTTTATTTCTTTCCTTTTTATTTTTACTTTCTTATTTTCTATTTTCTATTTTATTTCTCTTTATTTATTTAGTTTCTTTTTATAGCTTTGTATAAGTACCCATTTTGGGGTAATTAAATAAGGAAATTATTATGCTATTTTCTTAATCAATTTTAGGAGAGTTTCTCTCTCTTAGGGTTAGATTAGATCAATTTTAGGGAGGGAAAGTAGATTATTGCTCAATTTTCTTCATTGTATTCAACTTTTGGTCAAGTTTAATCTTCAATCAAGCAATACTTTCAAGTTTTCATCTTTAATCAAGTTCATCTTTAGTAATCTCTAATCCCTTCTTTTAGCTTTATTTATTTGCTTTATTGTTGATTATTTTCATTCATCTCTTTAGTTCATCTAGTTGTTATTGTTTTCATTATCCTAATCATGCTTTGTTTTGTGTTTCTTGAATTCATGTTTAGTTTTGCTATTATGTTAAGTCTCCCTTTTCTAGGCTAATTTCTTAGCTAGGGGAAGGGGGTGGAAAATATGTGTTGATATTGGATGAATGATGATGGTTGGATTGAACTCATGCCATAAATTGATGAAAGACATGATTTTTGATAGCTTGAGATTATTGTGGCACTTTATTTGATGTTTTTTAGTTTAAATGCATGAAAGTGATTTGAACTAGATTAAGATCATCTCTATTTTAATAATTGCATGTGAATGAGTTATTAAAGTGGAGTTTTATGGATCGTGCTTCTTTATTCTCTTGATTCGATTGTAACTAATAGGATGCATGAGAATGATCCTTATTAGTATAGACCTTTTTTATTGATTTGCCTAGACTATTGCATGAGAATGAATTGTTTAGGTAGAATCTTGTGTTCTTTGGCATGTTCTTCATGATAACCATTATTGTTCCCCTCTTTCTAATCATGTTTGACACCTCCGTATCCCTAGCGTCGTTCTCTCTTGATTTTAATCGTCATTTTCTTTGCTTATTTGTAGTTTTAGTGTTCTTTATTCAAATCCAACAAAAACATTCCCCTTTTTACTCTTGCATTAGTTAAATTGATGTTGAATGAGTGAGCTTCCTTAGTGGTTCGACCCTTTACATGCCCCTATACTTGTATTAGGGTAGTTTAGGAATATAAATGATTAATTTGATTAGGGTAATAATTTAACGACCTATCAACCGCCCGATCAACACCTTTCATGTCATTTGATTATCGAACAAGGCAAAAGTGTGAAAAGTCTAGTGATGATGATGTTTTTATTAATATCTCTTCTTTCTGTTTTTGAAAATATTTCTTTTCTTACCCTATTTATGAAAAACGTGCATTCCAATTTAGTTTGGTCCATGATACGGGTCCAATAATAGTGTAGTTGGATGGGTCTTGAAAAGACCTTCCCAACGATATATTATAAGCCCAATTCCGATGAATAATGAGGAATATATGCGGCCCAATGATCTAGAGGAGGGTCTATTATTAATTATCATTCCTAAAGCTATTAGGATTGATTATAATCTTCTAGAATACTTAGAAGGTTCTCTTAAATCCTAATGGAGTTAGGATTGATAATTATGTTTCAAAGAGTTTGAAATTGAATAAGACTACTCATTTTGAGAATCCTTGTTTTGTACGAGATGGAATACATTCAGATATTATTTTTGTGCCTCATAATATTTATCAAAATCTTATATGGTTGGATAGATCTTGAAATTATATTTCCAATGATATATTATAATATTTAATCCAAGCTATAACGAAAAAGATATGAAACTCTATCCAAAACTGAGACCTTTCCAGTATTTTGGCCATATCTTTTTATCTATAAAATATTTTAATATTATTCTAATTGGGTTGGAAATTAGACTTCAAGAGCATTCCAACGATATATTATATGTCTTATTCGGACTTCTGGATTAAAAGATATGATAAAAACAAAATCCGTAAAACTGTCATGCAGCGCCGGACGACAGGCCTGGCGCCGCGGCGACACACCTGTCGCCTGGCGACAGGCTCTGTCGTTTTGCGACAGGGGCTAGTGTGGCGACAATATCGTGTTTTATTCTTTTCGAAACTCTGATTCTTTTTTATCATATTCCGGCTGATTTTCGTTAAAAATAGCCTCCTAAAACCTCCGTTTTTAATCACCAACTCTCATTAAGAAATTCTTGATACTCTCTCTCTCTCTCTTTTCTAAACTAGCCTTCTCTCAAATACAAAATTCCGCATTCACAAGATCTAGACACACCTAGCCAAGTTCGATGTTGCCTTCGCCCTTGACGTGAAATGTTTTAATTTCTGAGGGTTTGGTCCCAAATCTCTCTTTCAATTATTTGATTTAATTGTGATTTAATATTTTCCTTGAAGTTAATAATGTGTGTATTTTGTTATTAGAAAGAGGTACGAGGCATCCAAGTAAGTACTTTAATTGTTTAATTGATATTATGATATAGAAATCATGTTTAGATTGTTATTTTGATTCCTAGTGTCATGTTTAGGATGTTTTTCCTAGTATCATGTTAGGATGTTATTCTTAGTATGATGTTTAGGGTGACAGTAATAAGTTCTTTATATCAATTATGCTTATTATGATGCTTCTTATTGTCTTTTCTAATATCATGTTAGTATCATGTTAGGGTTAAAGCTTTGATTTTTAATGTTTAGTGACATGCTAGGGTTTGTTATTAATCTTGTTAGTATCATGCCTAGGATCTTGCTATTATTATGCTTTAGCATGATTATTATTATTATTATTATTATTATTATTATTATTATTATTATTATTATTATTATTATTATTATTATTATTATTATTATTGATTGATCACACCTTTTATGCATGTTTAAAGGAAATTGATACTTGTAATCACACTTAATAAGATAATTAATAATCTTGTTTAGGGT